TCAAAACGCTTGGGTGTGAACAGAAAAAACGTGTTGAAAAACGCTGACGAATAACGCGCGCTGATATTCGTCACGGTGTGTACGGGCCTTTAAGATGCAATCACAATAGCGAAAAGTCACAATCAAACCGAGCAGCTTTCTGTTGGTCAGCGACAGCTTGGTGAAACTGCATGACCAACTGACCCTGATTCAAAAATGTATTTCACTCAAAAATAAGTGATATAAATCATGGAAGCCTATTTATAATTGTATAGAGTAGACCTTATGCACCAGAGAAACGTGGGCACCGTCATCTTTAGAATATTGTCTTTGAACTTCCGTTTTTGCGGTCGCTCTGTATATTTCTATGGCACCGCTGTCGAGGAGTTATTAGCTGGTGAAGATTTACTTATTGTAGAGTTAATAAAAGTTATCATGAGTTTTCATTGTAAAGCAGATGTCTTAACAAATGTCGACCGGGAATTTTTTTTACGAGCAGTTCATTCATACCTATGCGAGATTGCTGTGGATGTATATCAAAACTTTTGTTTGCATTTCATTTTCTAGTTTGACTGAAATATATTGTGACCACAAAAAAAGTACTAAAGAAACACTTTCCACCATCAATGAACCACAGAGCACCAAGCCAAATATTCCAGCAACAATCGCCCATCACTATCACACGGCACGCGGACTAATAAAAATTCTTCTCATCAACAGAAAATGCTCTTTATTAGAGACATTTTTACTGCAATAAGCTATTTCAATAAGTTGAAGGACAAATTGCGAAATGTTCCCTCTGTAAATGACACCTATGCTTTTTTGTTTTAAATGATGGCTCCTCTAATCCAAATGTATAGCCTACTTCATTTTTTTCCAAGCACATAAATATATTTTAGTAAGCAATATCATTAACCCTAGTATTGACCAAATCTAATAGATTTTTGTTCTTAATGCTTGAAGGGCCTAATTCATGGCATTTAGCCGTATTTCTTTTCACTGAGAAATATGCATACTACTACGGAAACTCATTTCTCATGCAAGCCTCAGCAGGACAGGAGTTTGGGATTTCTAATATAAATTTGAAAGATGGGAGTGTTTGATCTTTTTCTTTCAAGCAATTACCTTGTCGTTCGCACAAATCTTTTTAGCACCCGCTTCATTTAAACTCCGCAGAGTGATTCGCTTCAAAAAATATATTTTTGTGCTCGTGTCTTCAATCACAGTTCATTGAAGAATTTACACGGATTAAATCAAGTCTTTTGCTGTTGATATCTCATGAAGCCAGTAGGTACTGGGATTTGATAAAGTTTGTCAAATCTTTATTCTTTGGAGTTGCTTAGTCAATATTTTTTTTTAGCCAAGGTGTCAGGAAACTTGAGTGGTAAAGATGATATTTTGACAGTTAGGAGCAAGTGGCGCACTGTTCAAACACTGGCCGGTGAAGAGTAATTTAAAAGTGCATCTACCTTCAGTTTTTATGAGCCTCATAGTTGTAGCAGGACAATTTATTCCAGAGAGCTGACAACGTATATACTCAATAGCAGGAAGGAGCCAGAGCAGAAGCGCTACAGCCTTATTTGCACATCAAGAGAGGTGTGCAGGTTAAGGCACCGCTCTGTGTGATGCTCGGCTCAGTCAGAGAAAGAGCAAAAAGATGATTAGAAGAAAGTGAGGAATGCAAAGGCCTACAAAGAGCACTTTAACAGAGGTGGGCACAGCAGCCAATTTGGATGGCGATCAAAGAATTTGTGTCTTTAAAGGAGTAGTTCACTTTTAAAAAAAAAACTTTTGCTGATAATTTACTCACCCCCATGTCATCCAAGATATCCATGTCATTCTTTCTTCATTCGAAAAGAAATTAAGGTTTTTGAAAACATTCCAGGATTTTTCTCCATATAATAGATTTCAATGGGAACCAAACGGTTCAAGGTCCAAAAGACAGTTTCAGTGCAAACTGCAAACTGTTCAAAGGGCTTAAAACGATTTCATACGATGAATAAGGGTCTTATCAAGCTAAACGATCTTTAATTTAAAAAAAAATAAAAAAAATAAATAGTTTAGTCTGAAATAAAAAGTTTCAGTTTTATAATCTCAAATGCTCGCCTTGCTCTGAAGCGCGTTCGTGACTCTCCTATTCTAACTCAAACACTCAACACCAACATGGTAACAGACATGTTAGTGTTTGATTCACTAAAATGAACTGAATCAGTAGGATCATTAGACTGGGAATCACTATCGCTATGCATTTGATTCACTAAAGGCCAATTCCTCACCGACAGACAGACGCCTACCAATGCAGACAATCATCAGATTACAATACATCAATGAACCGGCAAACACAGACTCAACATGTTACAAATGGCATCAGAATCTGACAAAACTTGACAAAACACCATGTTGGCATCTGTCGGTTCAGTATGAATTGGCCTTAAAATAACTGATTCAAATGTTCATTGAGTGCTTGCTTTTGACTCACCAGAGTTGTTCATTTGAGTCGCTTGTTATTCAAGTATTTTAACCGTAAGCCAACTGATTCATGGAGAAAATAGAATTACATCTATTTGCACCAAAAATACATCTAATGTGTGAGATTTTCAAAAGTTACGCAGAGCGCCAACAACTTTAACACCATGTCCTAACTAGACAGGACATGATGCCGCAAAATATTATAAAAGCCGCTTCTTCATAAGTTTTCAATCCTAATCAGCCGAGTTTGCCTATTTTTGAAAAATATGCCTGGTTGGCAGCTCAAGTACTGAGTGCATTTCTATATTGGGATGGTGTACTATATAATATTGGGGTGGTGATGGCGCAGTGGATAAGACACATGCCTTTGGTGTGAGAGACCGGGGTTCGAATCCACTGTGAGACACCAATGTGTCCCTGAGCAAGACACTTAACCCCTAGTTGCTCCAGAGGCGTGCGACCTCTGACATATATATAGCAATTGTAAGTCGCTTTGGATAAAAGCGTCAGCTTAATGAATAAATGTAAATGTAAATTTCACAAGTTCATGCTAACAAATAATCATATAAAGAGTAAAGAGTACATATTTGAAGTGTTGTCCGAGGCGAGGGCTACGAGCTCGGAATTTGTCCCGAACCCAGAATACTCCCCCCGTATCCCTGAGGGATGCAGAAAACCGTCGAGAAACATAGGCGGGTTGTGCATGCCAGTGTCGTGTGCAAAAATTGCTTGTTGCTGGAATCTTATCCCATATTGTCTGGTTAGGATTAGGAAGAGAGAGGAATGCCTACAAGCGACCAACAGCACAGCGACCTGGCAACCTCAAAATCTCAGTCAGAGCATTATAAATTAGAGAAAAAAACATTAGCTATTTTTGTATTTTCAGAAACAGATCCCAAACAGGATGCATGCTTCAAGCTAGTTTTCAGAATACACTTTTAAATAAAATATGTACACATTACAGATCTAGCTTGGTAAAAATTGAATGACGCATGGCACACAACATGTGCCACATGTTTAATTGATGTTGATGTGTCAATGCATTCACCGAGTCCTTCCGGCATGAAGCCGGTGTAAATATTGCAGTTTTATGGCTCTTCTGTTGAGAGGTAGCCCCAGGATGACACTGAGGTACAGCCTCGAGATGTGAAATCCATAATCCATTAAATTACAGGAACACTCCTGACTAACCATTGCCATCAGATAATGCAGATGTCAAAAAGTGACACACCAGCATATATCTAATCTGAACATACAGCAAAAATTAATGGACTGTTGAGACATACCAAAATGAACTATACTTTTGTTGTCGCGGGCAACTCTCACCGTTGTGAGTGAACGTTTTAAATTCTGCACATCTTGGTCATTAAATTCTAATAACATCATACAATGCAGCATGAATAAACATAACATCATGCATGATTGGTGTTGCAGAATAATTTCAAGACATGATCTACTGTGGATGCAAAGACCATTCCAAATGGTAGGCGGCATTTCTTTTCCCTTCCAGATACTTTCATTTGGCCAGCATCCTTGTTATTTCTTCATAGAAAAGCCAATAATGCGATGAGAGAGAGCAGTTTAAATAATCTACCCAAAATGGCGGACATGGAGATTATAAAAGATTACAGAAGTCAACTACAAAAATATTATCCATTTCAAACCATAAAATCCAACTAATAAAATTGGATATTTAGTGTAAGAAAATATGATAATATAACACCAATTTTATCATCTCTACACTGGTTACCTATTAAGTTCCGTATCAATTACAAAGTACTACTACTGACCTATAAAGCCCTAACTGGTTTAGCTCCTGTGTATTTAATGGACCTTCTATCGCCCTACAATTCATCGCATTCTTTAAGATCACTAAATTCGAGGCTTTTGGTCATTCCTAGGATATCTAAGTCCACTAAAGGAGGGAGGGCGTTCTCGCATTTAGCTCCAAAACTCTGGAATAGCCTTCCTGATATTGTTCGAGGCTCAAAACTAGATTAAAAATGCATCTCTTTAGCCAAGCATTCACATAATGCTTACCTTTTTTTCCTCTGTTGAATCAGATCGAATGCATTTAATATTATGAAAAGCAGCTATGCAAATTATTTCCCATTTGCTTTTCTGCTGTAAAAAAATAGCGTTCGTCAGCTCCAGTTTGTATCCAGCCTCTCACGAAGATTTCAGATGCCCAAACACCTGTGATGAGACGACTAAACGCCTGTGAAGAGACCACTCGACGTCGGCGATATGTTATGTCCTAAATTATTACAAGATTAACTAAATGTGTTTTTTCCATGTACATTTCTGAAATGCACTTTCTGTAAAGCTGCTTTGAAACAATATATATTGTGAAAAGCGCTATACAAATAAATTTGAATTTAATTGAATATTTCACATTCACATTATATCTGAAAATTTAGTTTTTATGTTTATTGGAGTGTGGAATCGTTGGCAACATTGGTACCAGCAAACAAAAAGTATTTGTAAGCCCTTATGAAGCCATTAGAAAGCAAAGGAACAGAGTTAGAGTGTGAAAAACAGAAGTCCCATACCTGTACTTAGGGGTAGGAATGCCTTTTGCGTCACAGGTCAGCGTAGCCTCTTCCTCCAGTGAACCCACTGTCAGATCACTGGGCTCCATTCGCCATTTCGGCCCATTAAAAGACTTATAATCCAGACACTCTGAGAGCAAACAACAGAATACAATTTTTATCTTAATGGACAGTTTGAGCTGAAGTTATCACTTTTTTCATGTTAATATACCTTTTCCTATCTCATATTAACGGAATAGTTTAAACAGCACAATACCGGTTCTTTTAATAAGGAGAGACGATTATATGTGAGCCATGCTGTAGGTATGCTTTTTATTCCTTCAAAAGATTGCTGAACACTGTGGCTCTGTAATGTTCTCAAAACATTGATCAGTTTGTTTGAGTATGTCAAGCAGACAGAGACAGTGACGCTGGCTCGACCAGTGGTGTGAGTTTGTTGGCAGGATGAATGTCTGTCTGTGTCTGACCATGGACAGATGGGGGAAAATAAGTCTCTGTAAATTTGAAAATTGACCATTTCTTTTAATTCCTATTGTGCCCACGTAATCAACACCACAAGGTATAACAGAAATTATTCTGATTATTGTGTTTTCCAACATAATGATGAAAATATTGATGTTTAAACGAGTAGTTCACTTTTCACAAAAACAAAAAACAAAAAACTTTTGCTGATAATTTACTCACCCCCATGTCATCCAAGATGTCCATGTCTTTCTTTCTTTAGAAATTAAGAAATTATTTTAATTTCAAAAACCTTAATTTAAAAATTAAGGTTTTTGATGAAAACATTCCAGGATTTTTCTCCATATAATGGACTTCAGAGGGAACCAAACGGTTCAAGGTCCAAAAGACAGTTTCAGTGCAAAAGAGCTTTAAATGATTCCAGACGATGAATAAGGGTCTTATCGAGTGAAACGATCGCTCATTTAAAAAAAAAAAAAAAAGTTTAAGTTTTATAAGCTCAAATGCTGGCCTTGCTCTGTACTGTGTGACTTTCCTGTTCGAACTCGTTCATCAAAATGAAGAGTCAATTCGTAAATTTCGTTCGTTGAATGAACCAATTGACACAAAAAAGATTTGTTCATTTTGATGAACGAGTTCGAACAGGAGAGTCACACAGTATAGAGCAAGGTGAACACAAGTTTTTTTTTTTTCACCAAAAACCTTAATTTCTTTTCGACTGAAGAAAGAAAGACATGGACATCTTAGATGACATGGGGGTGAGTAAATTATCAGCAAAAGGTTTTTTAAAAAGTGAACTACTACTTTAAAGCTTAAATTTTCATCAGGCACTAATTTGCAAATTCGGGTCCAATTGTTTAAACAGCAATTTAGAGACAGATCTGAGATTTTTTTTTTTTTTAAGGAGAATTAAAACAAACCAAAAGAAAGGAAAGGAAAGAACCATGTGGGAGCGTTTTACTAAAGTAGTTGGATCAATCAAGCGGGTGTGTGAAACAGTGACATTCCAATTTAAGTTTGAAGGGAGTAAAGCCTGCGTTTAGGCTATTAAGGGAATGTAATTTTGCCAAAAAAGAATTACATTTAAGATCAGCCTACTCTAATGTAATATGTTATCATCACGCTTAACACTGAGAATTAGAATAATGTGACGATCAGGTCCGGATATCTAAATCAGAGAACGTCACAGGTTTGGCTTTGTGGCGGGTGCATGATTTATTCACTCGAGACATACGTCATGAACAGAACAGATGCTATTTTGAGGAGGGGAGGTTAATTATGTTTTTGATTAAAGAGGGTGTATTACTTTAAAAAAAGATGTTTGCAGATAAATCGTTTAAAAAACATAGTAACATTCTGTAAAAAAAAAAATATATATATATATATATGAATTTCATGATGATTTTTTTTTGTTAAGGGTAAATTTTATGCAAATGACAGAATTGCACAACAACACACACATACATAGAGAGCAGAAACACAGACCATATGTGGAGAGATCACACCAGGTGTGTGGGTTCTAATCAAGTGCTATGCTCACATCACTCAATTTCCACTTAAGAGGGTTTCATATCGGCAAAATCACTGGAATAATCACATTTATGTGTGATATTTGTTTAGAAAATGGGACCTAAGGCACTCTAATATGACATTTACATTGTGCACAATGAAGTTATAATAAACAATAGAGTGTATTTCTGTTTGTTATCCATTTCTAAACAGTGTAAGCTAAACTGAATCTCTCCATTCAGTTTTATATTGCTTTAATTTTTTTTGTCATTTCTGAAACATAAAATAAACATAAAAGTATTTACACCAAAACAGCTATGTTTATACAACAAATAAATGAATGTGAAACAATATTTTCATGCAAAATAACATACAGTGGAATAGAGCATAATGTTTAGTGTTTTAGATCTATATACTGCAGAATTTTTTTACTATAAAATATGATTTACCTTAAATATTTACATGCGTGTGTTTATTTTGTAGAAATAAAGCAAAAGGCAGCTGAATGTGATGTGTGTTTAATAGATTTTTACACACTGATTTATTTTAAGTATTTGCGATTTTAAAGGGATCATGAGCTGCATTTTTTAAAGTCCCACTGTGGTGAAAATCCAGCTTTTAATGTTGTTTATGTCTATGTGGTGTTTTTAATATGCTTTAAGACAAACCATGAGCAAATTCCTGAGTCGACACCATTGTAATTTTCTCCTTAAATCTGTAAACCAAAGACAGTCACAAAAACACGGTTTGTAATCGCTGGTGTTTCTGACGTCACAAACTACCTTTGTAACCAATCACGTCAACGTGTGATCGCCAACGAGTGGATCTCTGAGCTGGTGTGAGTGAGTGGAGGCGGGGCTCATTTACATATTCATGGAATCACGAATACTAAATGAAGCAAGGGTGTAGAGTTACATTCAAGCTATTTTAAGACATGAACAATTTATTTTTTCAAGGAAAAACTTTTAAATATGTAATTTTGATTATCAAAGATGAGTTTAAAGGGATTAAATCATTGACTAGAGGGGGGCTTTAAAGGAGTAGTTCACTTTAAAAAAAACTTTTGCTGATAATTTACTCACCCCCATGTCATCCAAGATGTCCATGTCATTCTTTCTTCAGTCGAAAAGAAATTAAGGTTTTTGATGAAAACATTCCAGGATTTTTCTCTATAAAATGGACTTTACTGGGCACCAAATGGTTCAAGGCCAAAAAGACAGTTTCAGTACAAACTGCAAACTGTTCAAAGGGCTTTAAACGATTCCAGACGATGAATAAGGGTCTTATCGAGTGAAACGATCGCTCATTTAATAAATAAATAACAAAGTTGAAGTTTTATAAGCTCAAATGGTCTTGCTCTTTTCTGTGATGCGCGTTCGTGACTCTCCTGTTCGAACTCGTTTATCAAAATGAACGAATCTTTTTCCGAGTCAAGTTGTTCATTTTGTTCCTTGAATGAACAAAATGACTTTAAATTTCTTTTCGACTGAAGAAAGAAAGACATGGACATCTTGGATGACACGAGGGTGAGTAAATTATCAGCAAACGTTTTTTTTTTTAAAGTTAACTACTCCTTTAAATAAATGTATAATGTTTTCTGAGGTCCACTTATACTGTTATGACTTTTACATTCAACAAGTTTCATCATTTAGAAGTCATAGGCTATTTTCTATCCTGTTTTTATGATGGACGTGCTGCTCTCAAGATTTTGATGTAAAAGCCCACTGCTATGACTGGTTTTGATATTAACACAATTTTATGTCGTCTCCGCAATTAGACGTGGAATTGTTATAAAACTTTCAATGTTGAAAAATAGCAACCGCTGAAATTCAGCCAAACATAAAGTGTAAGTACTTGGAATTACCACAGTTGACAAAGGATAACTTGCTGATTCAACTTGACTTCGATGAGCAAAATAGTTGGATCTTTTCAACGAATCGGTTGATTCAGTTTGCAAAACCAGTCTGAATGATTCATTCATAAATCAAATTGGTTCTCGAGTTCAACTCAATGATCCCGTCACAGCCATTAACAACTCACAGGCGGCGAAGAATGACTCAAATTGCAATCTGTTCCTCACGCAAAGCTATCGTATGGCTTCAGAAGACTTGAAACACAGCACACATGTTGTACAGACCACTTTTATGGTGCCTTTTCTTCCTGTTCGAAGCTAAAAAGACTCAAAAGGGAAAAGAGCAACGGTAAACTTTTTCGTAATATCGTCCTACGAATTTCAAGGTTGAATTGGTATTTATAAATCTGTATATTTCCAGTGAATTCATATTCTGAGAAATAATTTCCCCTCCCACATCTATAGGGAGTGAAGCCATAAACTGTAACATACTAGTTCAATTTCCTTGGAGGACACATTGTATCGAAGCCACCAAAACCTTCTATGGCGCTACACAATTCATTTTCAAAGTGACTGCACAGCTTAATTGAAAGCTCTTCCACCACATCCAAAACACGTCCTGCTCCCGTAAGCCTGATTCTCTGCGTCAGGGTCTATTACTGTCTTCTGCTCATAATCAAGATATGGGCTGATAGCAACAAATCTTGCGACATCACATTTGTTCCTTTCTGCTGTGACTTCACACCCAAACAATAAATGACCAGGCAAGTTGACTACATACATAATGCTTCAGTGAACCAGAGGAGAACGTCGGATGCAACGGTCCGTGACCGTAAAGCTTTCATTGAGGAGCACTTCTCATTTCTATTAACTCTGAGCATCAAAAAATCAGTACAGTCTTCCTATAAAATGATTAAGTTAAAGTTGATAGAGACATAGTTGTGAGTACGCCACAAGAGCCACACAGGGAAAGAATTACCAATTCATTTTACCTGCAAGATACTCCATGATTGATAGCAGCAAAAACTGTTTCCATAGTAACGTCATCTTCAGTTGCCAGCGGCGAGTGTTACTTGAATCCAGTGCGCCGTGAGTGAACGGCTGCTCCCTCGAAGAGAAAAACACTTGACCTGTTGAGGACCAGATTATGAGAGAAATTAGAAATCATTTATAGTACAGTCTATTTTTCTCAATTAACTGGAAAAAAAATGTATGCAAAAGAAAGCCATGAGGTAATGAGCGGTGGCTGCTGTGTGCTTACGAAACACATTATGGGGCAAAAATCACAGCACTAATGCAGCTAATGTGGCTTAAAAGATCAAGAATGAGAAGATCTCTTGCACTCAGAACCAGAAAACAAACACTCTCTCCATGACGCAAATAGATGTTCATCGGCTAGATTACATTTTATGTAAATTATCTATTGGAGAGTAACTAAAGTAGTAGGGGTGCAGATAAACAAAACTGACGGTTCGGTTTTCCCATGGTTTTGACGTCTCGGTTCGGTTCAGTTTAGATTTCTTTGAAAAAATGAAAAAAAAAAAATGTGTCTTTCATGAATTCAACTACAATTAAACGTTTTGCAAGGGTTGAAAAAAGAAATCTGCTAATGCTGTAAACTATATAGAGTCATTAAAGGTTAAAAGAGCCTAGACTTTTAGTCTAAATTCAGATGCTATTTTTTTTACATATAATAATCAACACCCAACACATTGTATAAACTGAACATAAGGCAGTTTTTTGCATTAACTTATGTTTTTACTCTAATTTCCCAGACAGCAAACTGACATTGAATCAACGTGGAAACGACGTCTCTCATGACATTGAAACAACGTTGATTTGCTCATCGAATTAACGTTGAACCAACGTCAGACGCGGCATTCTTCAAAGCTAAATGAAAATCGAAAATTGGTTTGCTTTCATAACGTTGAAACAACGCGTTGATTTCAAGTTGATTTTCCGTTAGTTTTGAAAGAATGACGCGTCTGACGTTGGTTCAACGTTAATTCGATGAGCAAAACAATGTCATATCAACGTTGTTTCTATGTCATATTTCCACGTTGATTCAATGTCAGTTTGCTATCTGGGCATAGATGTACGCCTATGTACAATTACATATCGATGTCCAGCAATCGATTAAAATAGTACATTGACGTGTCCCATCATTCTAAAATTCTCCTTTCACTGCATCTGTGAAGTAGGACAACGTCCCACCAGTCCTTGTTTCGGATTCTCATCCACAGACGACTAGCTAGATAAATATAAGCAGCACGGCACAGCGGTTCATTTGCTCACTGTCTCCAAATTATTATTAATTTCTAAATTTAGTTATTACTCCACCACCTGCAAGACATCTGCAATAACCAACGTGGTTGAATGACCAATTTGTGACAGTACGGATTCAGGGAAATAATTAATTAATTAATTTCTTCAACGATGCACCATGGTAGTTAAGCAGGAAGTTATGTTTTTGTATGTGAAACACGCTGGTGCATTGAAACATGAGGGCTTAAATACACAAGGACTGATCACATAACAAGGAAAACCTGTGAACAATAAAACAATGAACCAATTAGGATATGATGCAAGTACTAAAGAGCTCATGAAAACTAAGATCACATGAGGGGCAAGGGAGTCACATGACAAACCAGGAAACAAGACCAAGACAGATTTCAAAATAAAAAACATGAAAGCATGAACAAAACCAACAACAGACATGGCAACAGATGTTTTGTTCATTTCTTTTAATCTGAGGCAGAAGCCTCAAAGGATGTGCCCTCTTTTGGCAAACAGGGTTGGGAACAGCAGCTTATTTGCATTTAAAGATACATGCACGAAAACAGCATGTTTTGCATTTCACTCAAAAATGGACATATACAACATGGTGTAATAAATGATTTGTGGGGAATTTTGAGCTGAACTTTACAGACACATTCTTTAAAGCACCTTTAAAGTCACCCTGAAATCAAAATTGACAATATTTTTTGGGGGAATATGCAACGCATTCTCACCCCAAGGTGTCACCTTTGACCATGCTTCAATATTTGACGTTTTAGGCGCCCTTTAGCGTCACTTACATGACGCGATCCTACGGCGTCATCTAACTGACGCTAAAGGAAAGCGTCAGTTAGAGGACGCGGTTAGGTTTAGGTGTGGGGTGGGGGTAGGGTACACGCGAACCCAGGGCGTCATCTAACTGACGCTAAAGGGCGCCTAAAGCGTCAGATATTGAAGCATGTCCAAATGCTTCCCAAGGCGTCAGTTAAGTGACGCCTTGGGGGTGAGAATGGGCTGGAATATGTGGTCTGTACAAGAACAAATTGAAGTTGAACACTGAAGTACTTTTTTTCCCATGTCTATTCTAATGCAATTAAGAGACCAAGCGTGTTGTTGTTAGAGTGTTGCTAATCAAATCAGTACATACATGGATTAATATTTGCTTGAATCTATTTTGTGAAGAAAGCATAGTCAAATTGAATATGTGCAGGTGCAATGTAATATCATACAGTTATAAATTAATAATTCCTTTTCAATTGATAATTCCTTTTCAATTGATAATTAATTCCTTTAATTCCCCTTCCGGCGCACTCAGTGTCCGATTTCACTCGCTCGTTTTCATTCACTCCCTCAAGTGAACTATATTAATGTACTAATGTGGGAATAGTAAATGAGGGCAATGGGGGTGATTTTGAACAGGTACAGTGTTTTTAACATATGACAATCATTTTTTAACAAATATTTTAACTTTTCGGTGCAAACAAATTTGCTAACATCCTAAGCTAACCTCTAGAAACATAATATAAAGATGATAAAATGCATTTCAAGCCCCCTTTAATCCTTGACGGATGAACTTCCAGAATGCCAATTTTTTTAGGGCTGTAAAACGATTAATCGCGATTTTTCGCATCCAAAATAAAAGTTTGTGTTTACATAATATATGTGTGTGTAATGTGTATAATTATTTTGTATATATAAATACACACATATGCATGTGTAGATTTAAGAAAAAATGTGTTATCAATAAATCAAATATTTATATTTATGTATAATATTAATTTTGTATAAATATTGGGGCTGTGCAAAAATCAATTGCGATTAATCGCATCCAAAATAAAAGTCTGTGTTTAGATAATATATGTGTGTGTAATGTGTATAATTATTTTGTATATATAAATACACACACATGCATGTGTATATTTAAGAAAATGTGTTATTCGTATATAAAATATTTATATTCATATAATATAGATTATGTATTTATATATATATATATATATATATACAGAATTTAAGCTCAAATAATTCTTAAATATATACATGCATGCATAGGTATTTATATATACAAAATAATTACATACAGCACACAAAAATATATTATGTAAACACAGACTTTTATTTTGGATGCGATTAATCGCAATTCATTTTTGCAGAGCCCTAATAAATATATATAAAGTATATACATGCAAATATTTCTTAAATATACATGCATGTGTGTGTATTTATATATACAAAATAATTGTACACACTACACACACATATATATTATGTAAACACAAACTTTTATTTTGGATGCGATTAATCGCGATTAATCGTTTCACAGCCCTAATTGTCTCAGGGTTGCAAGTTTATATCTTGCAATTCAGACTTTATCTCTCAGAATTGCGAGTTTATATCTCCCAATTCAGACTTAAAATTCCCAATTGTAAGAAAAAAGTTAAAATTGTTAGATGCAAGCTCTTTGGTTACATAATCTCCTCAATTTTGATGGTTTCAGAATCAAATATTCACTGAACATGTTCTGGACGGCACAAAGTCATGTTTATCCTATCTGCAATGCATATTTAATGTTGTGCATAGGTCATATTTTTTGAACCGTGTAGTTCTGTTCATGATTTTCAAGGATAAGAGCATGTCACACAATCTGTCCATGTTGGCATCTGCCATATTTGACTAGTTTCTACCAAATGGCAGACTAATTTGCGCCCACATACTGCAGAGTTTGATCAGAACAGTCCTGGCTGTGACACATTTTTGGGCTGCGGGTTACCAGTCAAGAACCACTGCTTTAAGATGCTCAACGCCAATTTTCTCATAATACACTTCAGAGGAGCGGTTCACACGATTCCCCGACACACAAAACACACACTTGCACAAAGCCGAGTAATATCCAGGCCACTGAAGACTTATAAGGGCACTCCAAGAATGATAATTATTGCCATCTTGTGTAGTTTTCAGAGCGTCGGGCCTCAGGAAGGATTCCTCTCATCTTTCAAGTTTTAGGCTGGTTTAAGCAGGAGTAAGTGTGTAAAATGGGATTTAAATACTCTGGATTTTGAGCGAAGAACACCGCATGTCATGTTCCGTCTTGCTAAGCAGTCTTGAAGTGAGCTTGCGAGCATTCTCTTCACACTGAACCCATCAAGTGTGTGCCTTACTATTAGGGGCTCTGTTATTTGCTGCCTAATTTAATGCCTTTATACAAACAATTCAACCTCCCTCCAAATAAAACACCCTGCAGATGTAAAACCGCATCAATGATGCTTAATGTTTCGAACTCTCTGAAGCGAAGACTGTTTCAAAGCGCCATCTCCACTCCATTACTGATTCTTTGATTATGTTGCTTTCTTCCTCATTATAAAGGGTCAATACACAAACGCATGCGTCCAGATCTTCGTCAAAGCCATGCAGCAGATGCTGCTGAGATGCCGAAAGTAATGGGTAAACGTGTGTCGCCGTAAATTGACTACGGTAAAGTATTTGTCTCTCCTGAGGACAATATTCTGTCAATAGCATTGTAACAAACTGTTTTATGAAGCTGCTCAAGTGCTTCAGAAAACTGAAATATCAAAGACAAAAAGAGGCATTCAGATAAGCAACACACTCAAACAGAGGGTCCTTGTGTGACAAATAAATCTGTTACAGTCCCGTAACGTTGTTATAGGTTAGTTAAGTGACGCCTTCATGGCACAGCACTTTATTCTGTATAATACGCGGGTGCGATCTTGCTTTGATGGTCCTCTGCGGGGTATAAGAGGGATTATTGTGTCGCTGGCCGGCCTGACTGATTTTCTCAATTACGAAGCTGTTGAGCGCAGTTTAGCGGGACAGATGTTATATTTGTATTCATTTA